GTGCAGGCGCTCCCAGAACCGGAGCCAGCACCCCAAGAGGGATCAGGCCTGCACAAGCGCAAAATCGAAGACGTCGATGCCTCGGGCTTCCTTCTATACGTTGCCCGCAAATTAGTCATCATCCTACCAAAGGCGACGATGTTTAGAATGACCCAAAAGTTGATGTATAAGCATTGCCGAAAAAGGGAAATGTAAGGGCCCTGGAATACATTGCTGTACCTTCCTTTCCATTTCCTTCGGAGGAATTGGCTCGCTCCTCCAGCCACCAAACTTTTTTGTTGGAAAGTCACATTTTGCGGCGTTGTTCATTCTCACAGCAATCACTGTGAGTTCATGATGAGGGCACCAGCCAAGGGATACCTTGGTCTTCCATTTTGGTCATTGTTTGGGGCTCGGGGCACTTGTTTTGCTCGTGTCAGATGTTGAGCGGAAAGAACAAGAACAAAACAATATGAGGGAAACATTGTGTTGGCCAGTTTTTAGCCTGCGCAAGATCAGACGATGCCGACGGCGTCCCGTCGTTACTCTCTTTGCTTCATCACATGCACTCTTTATTATTTAAACATGTGTGTGTGTGAGTAGATTGTATTGTTTAGACACACACAAAAAAAGAGTTGTCGGCATTCTGCGCCGTGGGAATGCCCATGAGAACGGAGGGACGCCTGCTTTCATTGCCATTCACTTAGAGCATGAATGAAGCTTGGCTTTGCATTGTCCAGTTCCAGTGGCTTGAAGCATGTCAGAAGCCGGTGCAGCAAGGCTGTGAAACGATGTGGGCAAGCAGGTGTGTATACTACACCCTTCGCCGGCTAGTACACTTCTGCATCGCAGCCGGTGTAGTGCAATCGAGGCACTTGCATCAAAATCCGAGATTTTAATCATCATTTGGTGGCGCTCGAGTGATAATGTCCCCTCACGCTGCGTAGAGCTTAAGCCACTGCTCTAGGTACGCCGCACTTCTCAAGGATTCCATGTTCATCAAGCCACACAGACACAGAGCGGCCTCAGCAAACCGCGGGAAACGCCAATTGCAAGAGGCCTCCCTAGTGAGGTTTCTTGGGATCCCTTTGAGGTTTATTGGGAAGGTCCTAGCCCAAACCCTGTGCGATTGTACTTTCTCATCCCATCTTGTTCTTTGTGGTTAAGCCGGCTCCCGCCGTCCACTGCCAGGGCTGTCAGATACCAGGCAGGACAGGGCACTCGGGGCTTCAATCCTAGAGCTCACATGGCCCAAAGTGCCATTGTCATTTCTTCAAACGCATCCCACTCAAGCTTGTAAATTGGTTGGTGAGGGCCCGGCGAAGCCATGAGTTCGGTGTGTAAAGTGTCAGAGTTGCTTTGAGTAGTCGGTCAGCGCTTTAAGTCTTTGCACACAATTTTGTCATAGGTCGCTGACCGAATGGAATTCATGGCACTTTCGTTCCATTGTTGCATCGTGCCTGAGGCTTCAGCAGCCCCAAGGTGTGCTTTCGAGACACACAGGGACGATAAAAAAGCTTTTGTTGCATGTACTGGCTCATTTGCGCGTCTCACAGAGCTTGTCGGCTGATATTTCATATTGCCAACCTTTTGGGCAGATATGGTGAGATCCCCTTGCCCCCCAAAGGAGAGTCCTTCACTGTGAGCCCCCCCAACCTCGGAAACTCAGAATTCGGGGACAAGGAGGTCCGGCTGGCTCATCCTGGGGATGCGGATCACGCGATCCCAGGGTGCTGATGGCACCCTGTTCCTTCACTTCCTTGTTCCTCCTATACATACTGTGCCTGCTACACAAATGCAGCCTTCATTATTGGCGCCAGTAGAAACCAGCACCATTGGAAAATGGCTCCATTTGATACCACTCTGATGACTTCATTCCATGTGTTACCGGTCCTTCTGGTGGGACCGGTCAACGGATTGCAGCCAGGCCAATCCGACGAGCTGGAGGCGGGCTGGGGAAAGCTTGGATGGACCCGAGATCCGTCGATCCCGATCTTTCACACGCCCAGGTTCGTGAAGCCTGTGCTTTCCAGATTGTTGCCGGTTTTCCGCTTTTTCAAGCAAGCCTTTGGGCTGGTTTTGGCTAAACCCAGAGTCTCAACCCCCCGCCCCTGTCCACAAGGGCTTGTCCTGGTCTGACATGAACGCTATGTCGTGCTGGCAGACCCCATGTTCTCCTTGCCAGGAATCCGGCTGCCGCCACCGCAGCTGGGGTCTGAGATGCTTGGGATAGAGACGTAATTACCTCGGCCACATAGACAGAACAACAAATTAAATGTATTCTCGTCAAGGAACCAACAGGTAGCAACGGAATCAGGCAGTTGCCAAGTCTCAGCCTGCCAGTCAGACACAAGTGTCCATGCTGATTCGCAGCCACAATTGTACCTATATCGACACCTGCACACAAAGCAACAAGGAATGCAAGCGATGTCCTGGAATACACTGCGTAGCGTTTTCTGCACTCGCCTGGAGGTTGCGACTGGACAAGGCGCCTGAGTGCAACGGCCGTGCGCGTCAAATCAAATGGTCCTCAATGCAAAGGTATGATTGTTGCGTTTCGGAGAGTCTGATATTTTGCGATAGGTCGTGGACATGAGCTTGTTGCACAAAGCACCTTTTCACGCAACAGCTGTGCGATTCTCAGTGAAAGGTGCTTGAAGCTGATCTCAACTTCCCGTAAAGACTTGAACTTGGTGAGAAGTCTCTAGTGCTTCGGGATTTAAGGGTCAGATGAGATCTCTGGCAGGTGTGTCCTCAGCGCTGAAGGACCGCATGCAATGAGCCATGTTTCCGGGAGGTCCACCCGCCTAAGTGGTAGATATGGGTTTGCGGTTTGCCCTCATGTGGTGTTTTTTCTTTTTTAAGGGGGAAGCCCCCCCCCCTTATTGCTTGGTTTTCAGGAGAAAGCCAAAACGCCGACCATTGTGTGGGTCCCCTAGTTCTGAGACAAACCCATATCAACCAGAGATGGTTGGGAGTGTGAACCTGCTGGCTGTACACAGCTACTGGCGACTAGCACGGCTTGCAGCAGCGTATGCATGGATGAACATGATCTGTCTGTCATGGATAATGTTCATAAAGCATGGTTATCCCTAGACTCCAGTTTTCTGGTGAACAAATACTTCGGTGTACTTGGACCTGAGTGGTTTTGCCGACAAGCCCCAAAACTGTAGTGCAGAGGCGTTGACTGGCCCCTCCGAATTTGCGTGTCCGGACAGGGAGCACTCCGAACCTCCTGTCCTCGTAAAAGATATGGTACGTAGGGGAGCAGACCTATGTTACAACAAGTCCTTGAGAACTGATCATGTGAGTTTCTGATTTAAACATGTTACCATTGAACCAGTAGGCTTTTGCTATATTGTTGTTCGACAGCTCGCATGTTCTTATCAGAGCAAGCCGATGCCAATGCCGACCAGTCTTGCACATGGCGACACAGTTCGTCAAGACTCCCAAAACCATTGGGAATCATCCCAGTTGTTTTGAGTAGTGCCCAGCTTGCCATCGGATGCTTGACGAGACAACGTGTGCCCGTACAGGGGCTGCTTCACTTTGTCCAACCACATTGTAGCTGGTAGCCGGGCTGCCAAGGCATGATTTGTCTATGCCCATTTTGGAAGCTGGGCTGTAGGTCTTTTGTGGGGCAGTGATCAAAGCTCACTGCTGCCGCCTGCCGTACATTCGTGGTGGTCAGCCCAAAGCGGCAGCGTTTGCCAATGAAAATCTACAATGCAGATCGCCTGATCATGATTGACGCGTTGGTACAGGGGCACGGTCTTCAACGGTTTTAATCAACATGGTGTTGGATTGGTATCCACGTTTGTCGCAGTCAACCAATGCATGTTGGTGTCCGCAGACTTCAACGTGCTGTGATTGCAAATAATGTGTGGCATGTGCAAGTGCTATGCGGGCTACTGTTGAATCGGGCAGGCATGTACCACAGCCTCGCAACTTTCATCTTACCAGTTTATGCCATGCATAGCTTATTCACAGGAGCAGGAGCTCAACATAGGAGTAGAAGCAGCTTGCGGTTGTGTGCGCATAAGTTCATCATTCCAAATTCAGTTGCTGCAGGAGTTTGTGGCAACTCAATGCTGCCCCAAGTGTTTGCCATGCACTTTGTTTGGGCATCGATCAACAGGGGTTGCTGCCTCTTCTTATACCTTAGCCATCTCACTCGCAAACTTACCTGGTTTTGTGTTTGCTATATTCTGGGAGCAGAGCTGCATCCTGCCGCACGCCACAGGCTTTAGGGGTTGAATGCAGCTTCTTCCAGGCATGTGTTGGCCACTTGCCTGATATGCTTGCAAGCAGCGAACATCGTCCCAGTTGCGCACCGGTGTTTGTTTGAATCAGCACGGGGAAGGGGGCTGGAGGATACGTTTCACGTTGTGTTTGTGTGATCAGACATGGTGGTTGAGGGTATTCCCATGTGATTCTATATTTGCCCATACTTGTGTTCCTGTGAGGCAAAGGAAAGAGAGCGAGAGAGAGAGAGAGTGAGAGAGAGAGAGAGACAGAGACAGACGGAAGTAGACAGAGAGAGCGAGAAAGAGAGAGAGAGAGAGGGAGAGAAACAGAGAGCGAGAGAGAGAGAACAAGAGCAGGGTGTCGCAATGCAAGTTGGAGACACAAGCGGGTAGCACGATATAGCCGGATAGCACCCTGTCATGATATGATGTCATATGTGAAATGTTGGCGCTATGATTCTCACAACGTCCGAGTTGAAATGATTGTCGATCACTAGCCAGCTTTGCTGCATTTCAGGCTGAGGTGAACACAACCCGCCATCACGTAGCGCAGCAAGATACACCTGCTGACTCCTGCATGGCGTTGCTCTCACGAGATCCAATTCTCGCTTTTGAATGCCAACAATAGCCATCGAACTAACATGAGTTAGCAGTGAAAGCCGCCACCAGCCAACTCTAATAACGTGACCACTCTGGTACATGGCCAGTGATGAACATAGATAGCACGGCAAGAAAGCACCAGACTTCCGCCTTTGTCCGTGTCTGTTGGCTAAG